CCCGGACCCCCCCCAGAAAGAAGAGTGAGGCCACGACCCACCCTAAAGAAGCGCCAGAGGCTCACCCAAACGCTGCGAAAACACTACAACAACGACCTCCCACCTCGCCATTCTAGCAGCCAGGATCCGGTGAACCCTAATCACGGAAGATAACACCTTCATTGCCAGCGGTAAAACTGCCTCCAAACGGTGAAACTCTGAGAATCGAGCCGCGAGGACCGAGGATGCCCACGTCGAAACACCTGGGGTAACCCTGGTGCGGAAGGCACCGGATTTGCGATGGGAGAAGCAGAGAAGAGGGTTAATTGAAATTTTCGGAAGAGGGATTTTCAAAAGAAGAAGTATGATAACATACTTTAAAGAGGTGATTAATGGTCACTATTGTTATAAATGAACAAAAAATAACTTTTGCACACTAATTGTGATATGGGATACCATACTGAGTCGACTGGACTCGAGAAGCACCATAACCAAACCAGTAAACCAGCGGGGTGATTGAAGATTGAAGGCATTACAGGTCGAAGAAGCCTCAGGTCGAAGAGCCATCGTTAGTCAAAGGGAACACTGGGGAGTCGAACTAGGGCCATCTGATGGTGTAAGAATATTGGTTTGACATTGTCCGACAAACTTAAGTATTTTCTAGAATAATTTTTTATTGGACAAGCAAAATAAATTAAAGAAAAGTTTTCTATTTATTTACTTGTGATTTAATTAAGTTCTTCGTTTTATTCTTAATATTAATATATGGTATCTATTTATTATAGTATGTATTATGGAGTCCTAAACCTTTAGGAGAATGTGTCCAGCTTCTCCCAAATCCTTCATAGCATACACTACACGTCTGCGTAGTGTGTATGTGTGTGTGTGTGCCTGTGTAGCATATGTGTGTGTGTGTGTGTGTGTGTGTGCATCGGTGTAGTGTGTGTGTGTGAGAGAGAGAGAGAGAGAGAGAGAGAGAGAGAGAGAGAGAGAGAGAGAGAGAGAGAGAGAGAGAGAGAGAGAGAGAGAGAGAGAGAGAGAGAGAGAGAGAGAGAGAGAGAGAGAGAGAGAGAGAGAGAGAGAGAGAGAGAGAGAGAGAGAGAGAGAGAGAGAGAGAGAGAGAGAGAGAGAGAGAGAGAGAGAGAGAGAGAGAGAGAGAGAGAGAGAGAGAGAGAGAGAGAGAGAGAGAGAGAGAGAGAGAGAGAGAGAGAGAGAGAGAGAGAGAGAGAGAGAGAGAGAGAGAGAGAGAGAGAGAGAGAGAGAGAGAGAGAGAGAGAGAGAGAGAGAGAGAGAGAGAGAGAGAGAGAGAGAGAGAGAGAGAGAGAGAGAGAGAGAGAGAGAGAGAGAGACGCGTGTATGTATGTGTGTGTGTGTGCGCGCATGTGTTCTATGTGTGTATGCCTGTGTTGTGTGTGTATGTGTGCTTGTGTTGTGCGGGTGGTGATGTGGCATGGGACCCACTAGGGAGCGTGTAGGTTGGATGCATAATGGTAATGTTCAAATTACCCTTAATTAGTGTAAGATTTTGATTTTTTTTTCTTCGTTGGATCATCCGATATGATGACTAGGATTTATTCTTATTTGTTTTACTGAACACCATTTTCACTGGCGCACGACCCTATATATATATATATATGTAGGATTTGGTTCAAATGAGAACCAAGTCCTAGCGTGAGAACCGTAAGAACCGCTATTTTTAATTGTATGTAGTGCTATGATTGATTATATTTAGTGCTATTTTTAATCAGGATGTATTTTATTAAAAATAGCAACACAATTTATATTAGCATTTGTAAAAATGATAGCACCATGTAAGATTAAAAATAGCATCATACACAATTAAAAATAGCATCAAATATGGTTCTCACGGTTCTCACACCAGAAAAGGTTTTTATTAGAACCACTCCCTATATATGTATATATATATATATATCATCTACAACTTAATAATTTGATTTTGAATTAATTTAATTTTTTTTTTCAAGTTTGATTATATTGTACTTATATTTTATATTTATACAATTTTCTTCCCTAATCTAATATTATTTAAGATATCTTGAACTTTACAAGCCTAATGAAAATTTGTATTCAATTTGATTTTCAAATAAACGTGTTGAAATTATGTACGATTTGCAGGTGCATTAATGGATGGTTGATACTTAATTTAAAATTAACATTTAGTAATTTAATTGATTGAAATAAATGATTAAAAGTTAATTTGTTTAAATGGATAGGGTTGCTAAAAATGTGAAAAATTATAATAAAATGGCAAAAGAGTCGTATTTTTTTTTTTTAGAAAAATAGTGCATAAAATGAAAAAGAAAACTATAAAACTATATGAAATATAATAATTTTTTATTTATGAAATTGTATTATTACGGATGTAGATCATAAATGAATATATAAGAAAATAGTTTATTGAAGATAATGAAACACAAATTTTGAGGGCCTGCAGATTGGATTTTGAGTTGAAACAAATTTGACCAACGAGTTATAACCGCATATTTTATATACAATTATGCCCTAAAGAAACTCTTAACAGTAGCTAATAACCATTTTTTTTAAATAGAAAAAAGTTGTGATTTCAAGCTTTATCGAACAACTCATTTTTAAGTCAAAACAACTATAATGAGCGATTAAGAAATTTTTGCAAAACATCATGAAATAGTAGTTTGAAGTCAAATTAATAAGGTATGAGCTCAAAAATTCGCTCAAGCAAGACATTAGCCAAAACGCATTTATCGAATTAACTATAATGACATGGTCATAAATTAACAAAATAAATTATCATAATTTATAGTGAAATATAAAATAAATATAGTCAATTGTATTTGGTGTTAAATTTATTTTTTATTTTTTTGTCGGAACCACGATCGGATACAAATTTTTAACTTAAAATTCAATTCAAATTTAATTCAACTTAACTCTTCTCAATATTATCAATGTAATTAAAAAAATTTCATTAATTATTACTACACAATGTTTAGTAAATTTCAATATTCGGCCACTCACATGTTTTTAAATATTTCTCATTATTTTATTACTTTTACATTACATCAACTTTACTCATTATATTTAAAATTATATTCATTCACAAATTCAAAATCAAATACAAATTTTCATTCAGTCTATTTCTGTTTTTTTAATCTTCTCACACTATTCATAAATTTTTATACCCACCTCACCTTTTCAATTGGTTGTGAATTTCTTATTCATGATTTCTCTGTATATATAAATGGTGAGTTTCTCATGTGCCATTTTCTTATACTTCGTAACAAACTCAGAACAGATCGAAAGAAAACGTAGAGAGAGGAATCTTATTGAACAAAGAAGATGAACGAGTTTTTGGAGAATTACAGAATGAGAGAATTAGGGTTAAACTGTACAACACCCTTCCTATTTATACTATAACACTAATACTATAGTTGTCAAAATCAAATGACAACTCTTGTTTATTGAGAAAGCAACTAAGGCTAAAAAGGTAAAATACACATATATTGTCACCCCCCCGCAAGCTGAAGGTGCACATTGTGGAGGTTTAGCTTGGAGACTAATGAAGAGAAAGCAGGTCCTGGTAAAGCTTTTGTCAAGGCATCTGCGAGTTGTTCTTTGGTGGGAATATATTGCAGTTTGATGATTTTGTTGGCAACCTTTTCCCGGATCAAATGACAATCCAGCTCTATGTGTTTTGTTCTCTCATGGAACACTGGGTTAGCAGCCATTGCCATTGCTGATTTACTGTCTGTAAACACAACAGCAGGCTTTATGTGAGAAATATGGAAATCATCAAATAAATATAATAGCCATTGAAGCTCACAAGTAGTAGAAGCTAAAGCTCTGTATTCTGCTTCAGCTGAGCTTCTACTAATTGTGGCTTGCTTTTTGGATTTCCAGGAGACAAGTGATTGGCCAAGGAATATAGTATAGCCTGTAACACTTTTTCTGCTATCTATGCAACTTGCCCAATCACTGTCACAATATGAAATTAAATCCAATGAAGAAGATCTGGGAAAAAGAATACCTTGTCCAGCTGAGCCTTTGATGTATCTTAGTATTCTATGTGCAGCAGATAAATGGACAGAAGATGGTTTACTCAAGAATTGACTCAAACATTGGACACTATATGAAATGTCAGGTCTGGTGATGGTTAAGTATAGAAGTCTACCAATTAGTCTTCTATACTCAGAGGCATCAACCAGTGTATCTGACTCAGAGTTGGCAGTAAATTTGCTTGTGGGATCCATTAGGGTGGAAGCAGGTTTACTGCCTAAAAAACATGTGTCTTTAAGTATGTCTAAAGCATACTTTCTTTGACACATATTTATGCCATGCTCAGAATGTGCAAATTCAATGCCTAAAATGTATTTGAGAGTACCAAGATCTTTGATGGTAAAACAATGATGCAAATGCTGTTTAATGGTGGTAATTAAAGACAAGTTATTACCACAAATGATAACATCATCTACATAAACAAGTAATGCTGTAAAATCTGAAACAGAGGATAAAGTGAATAATGAGCAATCAGCTGCAGATTGTTTAAAACCATAGTCTAAAAGGCAAGATGTCAATTTGTGGAACCATTGCCTAGAGGCCTGATTGAGGCCATAAAGGCTTTTGATTAATTTGCAAACCCTCTTATCAGATTTATGACAATAACCAGGGGGAGGAGACATATATACTTCTTCATTCAAATCACCATGCAAGAATGCATTATTAACATCCAATTGATGAATATGCCAGTTTTTTATGGATGCTAGAGCAACTAAAAACCTCACAGTTGTGATTTTAGCCACAGGGGAAAAAGTATCAAAGTAGTCTATGCCTTCCTCTTGAGTATACCCTTTTGCTACTAACCTAGCTTTATATCTTTCAATGCTCCCATGAGATTTGTATTTGATTTTGTAAACCCATTTACACCCTATGGTGTGTTTATCATTTGGTAAATCAGTAAGAACCCAAGTTTTAGTATCTTCTAAAGCCTTAAGTTCTTTAGACATGGCTTCTTGCCACAAAGGATCTTTAACAGCTTGAGAGTATGTTTTAGGTTCTGAGTTTTGAGTGGTAGCAGCAGTAAAACATTTATGAGATTCTGAAAGATTAGAGCTAGATAAGTAGTCAGAAATAGGATATAGTGATGTACCGGAAATGCATTGTAGAAGATTTGAAGAAGATTGTGGTTGAGTGGGTAGATTGTGAGTATATATGTCTAAGTATGCTGGAGGTTTCTTTTGTCTTGTAGACTTTCTGGTCTGTGGTTGAGAGATAGGGGATGAAGTAGTTGTAATATCAGGATTGGTAGTATCAGGATGAGTAACAAGGTTAGGAATAGTAGGACTTGTAGTAGGAGGAGGTAATGAAATTGGATTGGTAGTGTGGTTGTGTGAGTTTGTAGTAGGTGAGGGCATAAGTTGTGTTGTTTCATCTGTGTCATAGGGAAATGGTGGTGGAGAAGGAAATAGGGTATTGTGTTGGGCAGGGGCGGAGCCACCCATGGGCTAGGGTGGGCTCCAGCCCCATGTAAAATTAAAAAAAAAAAAGAAAAAAAAATTATATTATAAGAGTTTAGTTATATAGCCCCATGCCATTTAATACCTAGCCCACATGTCCAGCCCAACAACAAAACCCAAATAACTAAAACAGCAAATCATTTATTTCCTAAAGGCCCTAGCCCATATGTGATTAGCCAACAACAAAAACCAAAATAATTAAAATTTAAAACACCAACTCATTTATTCACTAAAGGCCCGAACCAATTATGCATAAAAAATTAAGCTAGAACATACTTATTCAATTAGAAAACTTCCAGGAGAATTGAATCGACAATCTGTCTTCCTTCATTCTCTGCTTGCTCCTCATAGCCTGCCGCAGCCAAGCGCCAATCCCACCGCCACGGCCCAAGCTTCACTCCTGTCGCCGTTAATTCCACCGTCACGGTCTCGACTTCACTCCTTGCAGAGACGCCGCCCATCTGCCACCGCCCGACCCGATTGGCTACGGCCGCTAACCTCGTTGGTAAGGGTTTTCTTTCTGATTCTACTTCCCGGTTCGTACCTCTTTTATGTCTCAGTTGAACTAACTTATGAGAAATAGCAAGATTCCCTTTATCTAAATTTGCATTTTTCTTTTTCAAATACTCTTTTGTTCAGATGTAATTTAGTTAGGGTATTGGGATTTGGGGGGTTTTGTCTTTGTTAGTTTAATTTATAAAAGCTACTTAAAAAAAAATATAAAAGCAGTTCCACCACTTTTGACTTTTGCAATGTGGCCATTTTTGTTTCAATTTGATTTTGTGATTGTCATTTAGTTATCAAATCAAGAAAATAGTGATTCTATTTATTTTATTAGGAGTGTTGATGTTTAGTGGATTTTTGTTTTGTTAAGATTGAAGAAGTTGACTAGTTTTACTTGATATGCCATTTATGTTGTTACTTGTTAGTATTAGTTTTGGTGTTCGCTTGAAGTAATTAAGAATTCTGATTGCCCTTTCAATTCTTTTTAATTTTTATTATTAGTTTGCTTATATCATAATTGATTCATTAACTATTTTATATTAACTTTATAGGTTTCAATCATAATGGAGGGTCAAGAAATGAAGAAAAGAAAGACTATCAATTCATTTTTTAAGCCAAAAGAGCATATGTCGACAAGTCGAGATCGTCCTTCAAGTGATGATATTGCCGCCTCTATTGATATAAGTTCACTTGTCGTCCGGTTCATTGAAAAAAAATAAAAAATAATGAAAAAATAATATATATTTTTTTTAAAAAAAAACCGAACCTCGGGTTTGGGTTCCAGTGCGGAACCGAAACTGTCGGTTCAAAATGTATAAACTATAAAGTATTGCACATGAACCGAACTGGTCAAAACTACGGGCCGGTTCAAGACCCATGGTCAACAGGCTGGTTTGTGTCTGTTCGGCTCGAACCGACAAGTTGGGTCGGCCTATGACCATGTCTACTCGGTTCCAATAGTAGCTACAATAATATTCAGCCCCGGGTCAAAAAATTTTCTGGCTACGCCCCTGTGCCGCCGGCAAGCCGCCACCTCCGAGAGCCCAAAGGTTGTCCGTCGGCAGTAGAACCACCACTCGCCGCTGGTTTCGACGGAGCCGCCACTGCTATCCTGCAGCATCTTCTCCACCATGACGGAGGACGGAGACGAACACACACCACACACACAACTCCACCTCCGCCGCCCACCGTCGCCATCGTCACCGCATCACAAACTCCGGCCGACTCTCCAATCAACGCCGCACTCCGCCCGCTATCTCTAGTCGACAGCGTTCTCTGAAGCCCGAGAAAATTTGAAACTCGCAGCCGGAAGTCCGCCTTCGCTGGACACCTGAGGCGGCGTCGTAAAGCCCGAGAACGTCGGCGTCGCCTCCGCTATCCGCCACGCGATAACGCCCGTCGCCGCTGCCCTGTTCGACCGCCGCGGCTGCTCGGAATTAGGTACCCGGAAGAGAAAAATAGACGGAATCAAATCCCAAAATCGTAGCTGATCCTTCCATTTGATTTTACTGTGGATGAATTGGACCGAAAATTAATGATTTGGTTTTGATTTATGTGGAGGAATTGGACCTAACATTGACGTGACTGAAATTTTTGGGTTGGGGCTTTGTTTTCAAAATTAGATACCTTGTAGGGGTCTATTTGCAAATTTTAGAAGTTTGGGTAATTTACAATTCAGGTCATGGGACTAATGTGTAATTTATAAAACCATAATAAATGTACATTATCACCAAACAAAATGCACATTAAAGAAGTCTTGTGTTGGGGAATACAAAATAATATTTTCATCCAACTAAAAATAGCTCTCATTTAAAAATCAATATTCTCCATATTTATCTAATTTTACTTTTATTTGTTCATTCCAATTTCAACTATAATTTTTAAAATAACCAAAATATTTGAACCAACAATCGAATTATATAGGTTCAATTTCAGCTATAATTATTAAAATAAACAAAATATACAAACCAATCGAATTATATAGAAAATATTTTTTTTAACAAAAAAATATGTAGAGAATAATATTTATATATTTTATATTTTGGTTCGATTGTCTATTTTTATTTCTAAAATATCGATTATTTCAGTTCGTTATCAGCTTTATTTTCTTCAAATAACCGAAATGATCGAATTGACTGAACTATATAAAAATATTAATTATTTTCAACCAAATAATAAAAAATATTAAATGTAAATGTTTAAAATACTAAATATATTTTTTTAAAATACTGAACCTGCAACTTTGATTTGGGATTTAGGTTTCCAATGGTTTGATTTTGAAAATTAGACAATGGTTAGGGTCATATGTNGAATGTTTTTTAATTTTGAATATATAATTTATAACAAAGTTTTAATAAATGCATGTTAATAATAAGTAAAAGAAATATTATTTTTATATACTAAATAATTAAATTACACATTAAACTATATGCACATTATAATATTAAATAAAATTTATATACTAAATATTTAAATTACCTATTATAATATATATACATATATATATATATTATATTTTCAATAAAATAATGTAAATGTTAAATATAAATTATTAAAACATTGAATATATTTTTGTACAAAATTGTTGCAATTCTAGTGCACATTAGTGTTGGACAAATTGCACATTAATGAACAACAGATCGCACATTATCGAATTTGGTATTTAATAAAAATTACACATTATTAAAGTGTTTTAAAAATAAAATTCACATAAAAAATTATTTGCTCAATATAATGCACAATAATGATAGACTAAATGCACATTAATGTCTACGAAAAATGCACATTATCATCTTCGGTATTTCTATATAATATTTTTTTCAACTAAAAATATAATATACCAATTACTAAATAAAATTATTAAAATACTAAATATAATTTTAATATAAAAATAAATTGTTTCGATTACTTAGGGTAATTCGGTTAACCGACAGAATAAACCAAGTAATCGGTTCAATTTCAGTTTGGTTTGAACTGTGAAACAAATCATTAGCATTGAATGCATTGCACAATAATGTTAGACGGATTGCACATTAATGTAAGTGAGAGTGCACAATATATACCGAAACTTGACCGACTCAAAATTTCGATTCAAAATTTTATATTTCGGATTGATTATCTGTTTTAACTTTTAAACTACGATTTTTATATTTCTACGTCATCTTTATTTTTTATATAATTGAAATAACTGTAACGACCAAACTACGTAAAAAAAAAAAATTATTATGTTTATATATATTTTATGTATTATGAGTGCACATTAGAATTATATGAATTGCACATTAATGACTATGATATTGCACATTATCAAACGAACCCGATCAAAATAAGATTTTGTAATTATAAATTTTGAT